TTTATGTCATTCCTCTAAGAATGAGGTAGTAAGGTAAACTCCTTTCTAAAGAGACAAGATGATTTTTATAAATGGTCAAGTTTAACGAAAATTGGCGTTGTTTAGGAGGCAACCCAAAATTTTATTTTATGATTTATGTTTTTTTTTTTTTTTTATTCGGATAGGTATGTTTTAATGTTTATTTTCTTTTTAGTTTGTTTTGTAGGGATGAAATTAAGTAAGGAGGATGATTCATACAAATGAGATTTAGCGTTGAAGTAAATTTGGGAGTATTTTTTTCCCTTGTTCTTGATACTTTGTTCAATTTAAGTGTAAGGGTAAAAAAAAGCTTTTTGTACTTAAATGATTTTTGAAAATTATGATTCCATTTCTTCTCCCTTGTTTTTGATGCATTGTTCAATTTAAGTGTGGGGAGAAATGAAAGCTTTTTAAACTTAAATGATTTTTGAAAATTATGATTCCATTTTTGCTTTCAAACCCAATTGACTTATTAGATTTCATTATTAGTTAAATTTTGCATATATTTTCTAAGATTGACTAAAGTATGATATGAAGTTTGATTATGAACATGGGAAAAACTTGAAAGGAATTCTTAAGCATGTTTCTTTTTGGATATGTTTTTTGTGTATACGCTTCTATTCTCTTTTAATGAAATGTTACAATTTTTGTGAAAATTTGTGAGATGTGAATTTGCATGAAATTTGAGGTTATGAATAAATGTTCTAGAATTCACCTACTCAACCTTTAAAGTGAAATCTTGGACTGTATTTGACTCAAGAAATGATCTAGGTATTTTTTAGATCATTTGAGCATTTTTTAAGACTACCTTTTTATGATTCATCCTTTGTACCTAAGGAGAAGATTTAATCAAGATTGAATCAAGCTGGGACGAATGGCCAAGATCTCTTCTTCAAGATTCCATTCTACTAAACACTCTTAAGAAGTAAGAGTCCATATTTGTCATGTAACATTAAAAATCAAGATAGAGCTTTATCACCTAGTATTTGAATTCAAATTCAATTTTTGTAATCTTTACCCCTTTGGCTGAATCTTTCATTATAAATAGGGAGGCCATTTACCTTATTCCATAATCCCCATCTCATTTTTCTTTTCTTTTTTTAGTTTCTTAGTTCTTTTCTTTTTAGTTTAGTTTAGTTATTAGCTTAAGTGACAAATTTATCAATAACAAAGTTTTGTTTCTTTAAATTATTTTATTTCAATACAAGAAGTATTTTTTCAAGATCTTTTCTTGCATTGTTCTAAAGTTTCAAATCTTATTTTTACTTTTTTAGTTTCGGCAAAGCAATCTTTTTCTTTTACAAGTTTGATTTAAGCATTCTATAATTCTCTACAAGTTTCTGCCATTCTTTTTTAATGATCTATAAGTTTAGTTTTTATGCAATCTTTATTTTAAGATCTTTATAAGTATTCAACAATCTTACTTATTGTTTTTAAGATTTTACTTATTGTTATTTTAGATCTAGTTTGTGGCTATACTTTTTTACTTCCTAAGTTGTAGTTGGTAAAGTCAATATTTAAACCTACACTGCTTCTCAATCTTTTCTTTTCTTCATTTAGCAATCAACCTCTAAATTTTTAATTGTTTAGATATAAGGTTTTAGACGTTCACCATTGATACTTGAAAAGCTATCTGACATTATAATTTATAATCTCTTGGGAGATGATACTAAAATATTTATATTTATTGTTTGATTTGTACATTTGTAAGCTATACGAAAGCAGTAATCATAACTTCATATACTAACTTGTTGTATTCTTTTTCTTTTTGTGTTTCTTTTGCATAAATTACATTGGCATAATAGAATAACATAGTAAGATATTTGCTCCAGTACATCTTTCAACAAAGTTTTTTTTCATGGATCTTATAGTGTTATAGACTTATTTTTTGTCCGTAAGTGCTCTTTGTGAGTCACATAATGAGGTGTATGAATGGTATAAGAAAACGCAACCAAAGGAAAGGGATTGCCTACCTATCGGTTATATATAAAAATTGCATGAAAATACATTTAATCTTACACATAATAATTTAGAGGATTAGGCTACCATATGGGATCAAATAAGTGAAGCAAAAAAAGAGAAGTTTCGTGAAAAGTATGGGTAGATCGTGCTTTTATCCTAGTAGTAATAGAAGAGCAATATATTAGAGTAGATGTCCTATTTTAGGAAACATTATATAGATGTTTCATGTTTAATGAAAATGATTTGACACCAATTATAGAAAAATATTTGATTTTGGTGGGATTAAAACTTCATTACCTCGATAAGATATATGCTAAAAAATAAAAATTAAGGTATTGTAAGAAAATAGCTAAACTAATGGGGATAAAGGTATAGGCTATTGACATTTTAATAAAGGATAAAAGCAAATATGTCGTCATACCGTGGCATTTCCTCTGAGATTTCATTTTGAGACATTTAGAAGATGATCAAGACATAGTAGTATTGACCTTGGCAATTTACAACATGGTGATTTTTCTTAAAACTCTAGAATACACCGAGCTAGCAATGGTTGATTTGTTTGAGCAAATTGAAAGTCAAACGATTAATCCTATGCCAGTAATCTTAGCAAAGGCTATTAGGTCATTGAATTTTTGTCTTCGAAATGGGGGATGTTTCATAGGGTGCACATAACTATTATTTGTGTGGATAAAAAGCCATTTTAGATGCTAGAAAAGTGCTTTTCCCAAGCCTTATCTACGAAATAGAACCCTAGTCAAAGAGTTTTGCTAGAGTTAGTGGCTAACACTAAAGTCTAAAGAAAAATGGATGGCACCAGTGATCAGATCAAATTGATGGCACCATAGATGCCTCATGTGCCTATGTTATATCAAGGTGAACCGTGGGTATTGCTTTTAAGATTATGTGGGGTAGTAAGCTATGCTCCACTAATGGTGCTAAGGCAATTTCGTGCAAAACAGTTTGTCCCTACAACACATGGGCTCACTTAAATAGAATTTACTTATAGAGAATCAAGCTTGTTGGAAACAACATAACAGTCAATTCAAGTATGGAAAAAGATTTAGAGGCTAAGATTAAGACCTTTGATTGACAAAGTCATGTTTGATTACTCGATTTGGAAAGTAAAACATTTAAGAGATATTTTGCTCCTTTTAGATGATTTCTTGTTTCAACAAGTCAACTTTTAGGCAAAAAAACTATTATCAGAAGTCGAGTTTGTTAGGTAAGAACTTAAAGCAAAAAAAAAGAGAAAATAAAAAAAAATTCGAGACTCCAATAAGAGGTAGGACACTTGAGTTACAAAATAAAACCTGAGATAGTAGACTTAAAAAGGCAATGCAAGACTAGGATGTGGCCAAATATGATATAAAGGATTTGCATGAAAAAAAAATAAGAAGATGTGAGTCCAACTGAAGGAAGGATGCCAGATCTTGAGGTAGGCAACATAAGGAAATGATTGAACGTTAAAAAGATACGCAACTTTGGAAGAACAAAGTTAAAGAAAGCGTAAAACAAGTAGTTAGGATTTCTCAGGAATGATAAAATTAGGAAGTTTTGTGTTCGATTGCTTCAGCAAGGTTAATAAAATGTCAAAAGAAAAATGCAAGATTAAAGGCTCAGATAAAAGATAAAAAAAAAAGCACTATGAAATACAAAAAAAGAAAGATTCACTCTACCAGGTAATTTAGGAGATAAAACAACAATTACGAGACCACAAGGATAATATCTCTATAATGATAAAAAAATGACAAAAAAAGAAAGAAGATTGGAGTTACGCTTGTGATTTGGAAGTAAATGCTTGCATGAAGTGGAATGATGAGAGTTTAGGTAGGTAATAGTACATAGAGCATCTAATCAGTCAAATTTGCAAGGCAATGCAAAAAGTAAGGGAAATGGTCTAGAGGGTAGAAACTTTGATACAAGAAATCAACCCAATTGGGGGTTATGGACAATATTTATTGGACTTTTTAGTCACAGCTAAAGATCCTTATAAGTAAGTTAAATATTTCTATAGTTACAATTGTAGAATGATAAACTTCATGTAATGAAAAGTTCTAGTGTTTGATGTTTGTCATGAAGTAAATACCTCTAAATGCATTTATACATATGTCATGTGTGTTATTTTTTTTCTTCCTTAACATTTATCTCATTAAAAATGGTGATTTTAAAATTTGAAATGGAAAACTTTTATTTCACAAAAATAATATGGCATCCTCATTTTTCAAATTGTGGTAATAAAAGTTTAAGGATAACTTAAACATTGTAAGTTCGAAGTCAATTTGTTCATCACTCGTACAATACACGCTCACATATCAGAACTATAGAAAATGAGCAGACATCCAAGAATGGAAAAAGCTTAAAAAGATATGTGGGAATAAATCACTAAAATGCAAAAAGAGATGAGAAGGCAAATGATGGAGTCAAGGAAGTTGATAAGGGGCATGGTAAAAAAAGAGGTGTTGCTGAAACCTTTGTTACAAGAGTAGAGAACCAATTCCAAAAATACAATAATGTCAAAGAATAGCCATTTTATTCACCCGAGTTTACACCGCCTTACGCTCGAGTTTCTTAAGAAGTGTATCCATTGCCTACTGATGGACAACTATACCACTTTATTAACATGAATTTGCCAATTAACCAACAACAAAATCATGGACAATTAGGTAGAATCTAGGATGTAGCCCTATCAATCCAATCTTCGTCCTAAACCTAGATGACCCCTAAGAGAAGTTAAGGGTAACATCAAAGTAAGGTGAGAAAGAAAAGATTCAACACAAGTACAACTTACTAGAAAAAAGGCTAAAAGCTTTGGTAGTATCGATGCAAATGAACTTAGTTTAGTCCCTGATCTATTAATTCTATTGAAGTTTAAGACTCTTGATTTTAAGAAATATGAACGAACTAAGTGCCCATTGACCCATATCACAATGTTTTGTTGCAAGATGGTAAGCCACATACACCATGATAAACTTTTGATCCATTATTTCCAAAATAATTTCATTGGATCTACGTCTAGATAATATGTACAGTTGGATAAGAGCTATATACATTCTTAGAAGATCTCGCGAATGCTTCTATAGCTCAATATATGCATGTAGTGGACATGACTTTGGATAAGCTGTCATTGCAAAACATGAAAAAAAATAGCAAACAAAACTTTTAAGGTATACGCCCACACATGAAGGGATCTTGTCACTCAGGTACAACCAACATTGACTAACAAATAAACAATTGCACTATTCGTCAATACTCTTCAGGAATCTTACTACAACAAGCTCGTCTGCAATGCCACGAAAAGTTTTGCAAATAATATAATCTCCGGTGAAGTGATGGAAAACACCATAAAAATGGCAAGATTGAGGTAGACGATGGAATGATAGCTCCGATTCCAAAAAAAAGCGGTGCCACTTATAAAAAAGGATGGAGAGACACAAGTGCCAAGGCTTCCCTTGTCTTCGTTCAAATAAGCCAGATTCCAAGTGGCTCAACCTATCTGAAACTAATGCTAGGCGAGCGCTAGTTTAGCAATCGCAATTTCAAGAGTCTCTAATTGTTGCAGAAGCCTATGGTCTTAATCAGCCAACAGAATGGGCCCTAGTACTTTGGAATCCGATGCTATCTCCACGTGTCTTGCCTGTACAAGGAGCAATACTCCCTACTCCTAGACCTAGTTGACTCATTTTTCCATAAAAATACCAAACCAAACGGGGCTTGCCTGTACAAAGAGCAATACTTGGTTTGTTTCAAGCCAGCGAGTTGGATGGATCTAATTCAAGCCCCCCACCTTCCTGTTTTGTTGTTGTCGATATTCAGCTTCTTCCAGCAGAAAAGAAATCATAAATAGATAGTTATATCTAGGCTTCTTCTTCATTAAAAATTTTCCCCTTTTACTCTTGATATTGAACTGTAAAGAATATTGTTAAAACAGAGAGAAACAATACAACTTAAAGAGGAAAATCTCAGATATTGTCTTAAGGACTTAAGTCGCGAAGTCAATAAATTTCAATCAGCTTTTGAGTCTTGACTGGGTTTGGGACGACTCTGTGCAAGTAGTCGTTTCGTGCTTTCGAGGACGCCAAAAAAGATTGATCCGCCGATACCAATCCACAAGACTCTTGGCTCAATGCCCTGCAGCAAAAATGTAGATGTATGAAGTTCTCCTTGCTATGTTAATATTTACTTTAGGTCTGATGTAAATTCTGCAGGAGATTCCTACCTTAAGAAGAGCAGTAGGCCCTTCCTCCCTAACAATTGTTTGAACACAATCAAAGATCCCCTTATACTGGTTCGCGGATCCCTGTGACAACCAAAATGAAAATTTGAATCTTAGGATGCCCTGATGATTACAAAATAGATGGGTAGATAATGATCGTGAAGAAAAATACTATACCTGAACCATTAACCTCGTCTTAATAACATCGAGGGGAGTTGTTATTGCTCCAGTTAATGCACCTACAAAAGGTCATATTGAGCATGTAACGCGTTTCATTCAAACATTAGGGTATTAAGTAAGAGTATTTCTGGATGTAAACTTGCATGTTACAAGGATGTCATAATACCAGCAAAAGCACCAATAATAGCATTCTCAGGATCATTTAAATCTCTCTGAGCCTGCAAGAAATGAGATAAAAAAAAAAAAAGGAAAGTTATCAATAATGTAATTATAAATGGTTTTATCCCATGTGTATGCAGAAAAACATTTTTATATGGACCACAAATACTGCATGCATGTCAAGAGAAGGAATACTTGTCACCGCAAATCTGTAGATAACTAAGCGGACAGTAGGCACATATATTTTAATTCTTTCCTATCTAGTGTCTTCAAGGCAAATCAATTTAATACGTTTTACCCATGTAATTGGTCTGCCTTCTGTGTTTTCTTTTATAGGCACAAATAAAAATAGTATTCTTTACCTGTGAATCTATAAGTCAGATTTTACACAGTCAAACAATCTTAAACAACCTCCCTTGGGCTTCATTTGCAGTATCACTGAATACCTTCTGATAAAGTGTAAATTTCTACACAACGTTTCCTCCTAGCATTCTCTTTTTCTTACAATCTTTGAGGACATGTCTCGTCTGAGAACCCAACACTCCATATAATAAAAACTTGCAACTTTTAGCTTATTCCTTAACCTTAAGCTTGGTTTAATTTTAATTATAAGTTGTTGTAATGTGGGCCAACTTAAACATAAAACCATACATCGACACTTCAGAGTTCATTCCTCAGGGTTTCAACACAATTGCAGATTCAACATGACTCCCCAAATATGCATTAGGAGTTTTCTTTGCCGCCAATATTATTTAATGCACAAACCATAGACACATAATGCATTAAAACATGTCATTTAAAATAGCTTTCAAGTACCATAGCACGCAGCATGAGGTGAAAAGAGGCCAAAGATAATTGAGTAATTAGAATAGCAAGTAAATCAATCAATTAACATGCCATACTACCAGCAATGGCAAATAGCACATAGATGAGAGCTTACCACTGCCTTATAACCAATTCTAAGTTGCTCGTAGATACAGAATTGAATGGCATCAAATGGCAAATCTCGTAATACGAAAGATCCATAACCCTACAACTCAAAAGCAAGGGTCAGGTAATGTACAAAATAATTCACAGTTTGCAATAGCTTAAGGATCTTCATTCCTAAAAGACCAACAGACTGGTCCTCTGCCAAAAAGAACCTCCTTAACCTCTATGCAGGACAGAAAAAAAATAAGATGTCAAAATTTGACAATTGAAAGTAACATTCAAAATGATGCAGGTTAAGTTTATGGTAGGAGAGAGGGAAAAGTGAGGGCATCTCATACCGCATAAAGACCCTTAAATCCCTCCTTTGATGCAATAAGACGAACAGCATGAGATGCAGAAGTAAACTGCCCAGTTTGCATCCTTTGCTTTACAACCTGAGTTGTTAAGAAAAACAAATGTGAAGGACTAGTAAGTCAGTTTTCAATATGAAAATGTATGAGAAAACATATCTACCTCAGTTGGAACACGAATAAATGAAGCAGCAATTCCTCCTATAGCCCCTGCAGTCTGCACGATATTCGACCACCTTAATAAATTGTGGGGCCAAACAATCAGTCAAAGTCTAATTGGACTTTGAAATAACTGGGTTGAGAAATCAAGGAGGTTATTCAACCAAATCATTCAGATTGACTGGATGTTTCAGTCACGGAGGAAGGTTTATTCAATGGCAGATGTAGATGGTTACAGGGATAGATTTGTTTATAATGGACTTGATCATGAAATATATCCATGTCAAGAAGAAATAGAAGAATCTCTTACCAAGTGAGCAACAGCACTAAGATTTTCAGGGAACAGCTTCAATAGTTTCTGTTTAATAGGTTCATAGACACCAACAAATAAGGCAGAAGCCCTGTGCATAGAAAAGTTATTACCAGTAAATTGGAACCCAAAAGCAAGAACTAAGAAGAAAAATAAAGTTGATTAAGAAATGCAGAATTCATGATATTTAAATATCTCTAGGTCTTGATAAAAAACAAATTAGATAATATAAACAACCAATGCTGAATGTTTTAAGTTACACCTCAAACAGCCAAAATGGGTGGTACTCTTTTGCACGGGCATAAAAATATGGACCAAAAGCTAAATCTAAGTAACATGTCTTCATTTTCAACAAATGAAGAAGATTATATCGTAAGTCTATGATTGACAATAGCACACAAGCTGCAGCCTTGATGACAAACTAAGACACTGATATGATGGTGTAACTGCAGACCAGTACCTTTATTGTTTAGTCATACAGAGAAAGAGAGTATTATGCCGTCTGCAGATTTAGCATGTGAATGGTTATCTCCATGAAAGCAGACAAATGGTGGTCGGATACAGGAATGTCATGTTTGTTACCTTGAAAACTTTCCGCGAGAGCTGGTTTATTTGTTATTTACTTTCAGTGCACTGATTTTTGCATCTCAATTGTATTTTGTGCATGCTCTAATAACAGTAATAACCCTTTCCTAGTGAATATCATTACCAAATCAAGAAACGATTACCATACACTATTATGCCAGAGAAACAAGCAAGTTGTGCAATTAAAAGGTACTTACGGTAGGACACCAGCAAGATTACCAGCCAATCCAGAATAAAGCCCCGTCAAATCTATTTTATGTCCACCACGAGCTGCCTAGAGGACAAGAAGGTAAATTTCAAAAAGGTTTGAGCAGAAAGTTAAAGTTAATATCAAAGCAAATATCCACTTCTTGAGCTCCCTGTTCATTTTAAGTAATCCACAATAAGAGGCATTTCAATCTCATAATTATGACACATTAATTTATTTACAAACCAAATTCGCTCTTGGTCCAAATTTAATTCATTCTGCAGGAACAAAAACAGTAGCAATTGTCTAGCCTAGCACCATAGATACAAATAAAAGTAGGCAAAGGAAATTGAGGAGAAACAGGAATATACAATTGCAAAAAGATTTAGAATGATCTCTTAATCTAACACCTTTTCTGGTAGGAAAAGCAAAAGATGGAAGTAAAATACAAAGTCCTGGGACCATTTCCATATTTTGTCGGAAGGAAATTAGAGAATGGAAGGAAAGCATTGGTATTTACATCTTTACCCACTCACAAGATAAAACCTAGTGATTAATGGAAGAAAAGGGGATGAAAGAGTCAGCCATTAAAATGAATTATTTTTATCCTCAATCTGTTTGCTTCATTGTTTCCAACCAAATAACTGAAAAGAACAAGTTGATTTTCTTTTTCTTCCATTTCCATTTTCTTCTCTCCCTTTTGCTTCCTCTTCTGTGTCCTTTCCTCCAATGAAAACTATCATGTAGAGGCCCAGCCAAAGACTTGAACTTAACATCAAGTGGAAGGGAATCCTTAACCTCCACTTTTACATTTATTTTAAGTAGTCAAGAATAACCTGCCTGCAGCCGTGTCTTTATTGTATCAATTGGGTATAAAGCTGTTTCAACCACAACACCAGCGGTACCTCCTGCTATGAGTCCCTCTGCAAATATTCCAAAGAAGTTAGAATACATGAATATATCGGCAAGCTTTACCTAACTAGCCACGCAGATTCATGTTTAACGCAATTTCTGCAGAGAAAAAATTACTGCTGGATCGGTGTTTTTCAGGTAAAGTTTCTTCACAAACCTGGTCCTAGAGAATTATCATTTGCTAAAGGGAGAAAAAAAGAAGCATTTTCTTTCTACCCAAGAACTGATGTTTAGCAACACAATGAAATTTTCATTATAACAGATGCCAGTTATTGGTTACTCAAGTTTTCAATGCAGGGATGACCTCAATCCAACCAAGTAAGAAACAAAGTTCATGCTCCAAAAAGGAGTTAACATAGCTTATCAAATTAAATTGCTAAAGTGGTACTCACACAAAGATAAAAGTAAATATGGCCATGAAATAACTGACAATGATAAAATTTTAATGCTGACTATCTACGTAAAATGTTAGGAGTTGCTACTTATACATACATTTGGATAGAGTTGCATCATCACTGATTCAATAAGTAAATAAAATACATGATTAAGGCTTACCAAAGGCTTCATTTCGGACACATGCACATAAGACATAAAGGCTCATGCTCTTGCAACAGACCGGTTTTTGAAATTGCTTATAAAATAGTTGCCACAGTTTTTTTTTTTTTTTTAATGAAAAATCTCTCTATCCATTTCATTGATAATCTCTTTTTCCCATTGGCAGTTCAAAAATTATTCTTACACGTACCAAATAGAATACGTAGGAAATTAAAAGGTTTTTCCTCTTCCATGCTGACTGATGCAAAGCACTTTCTTGTTTCAAGCTGTAAGTTTTGAATCTTCCTATTGCATGCATCTGCAAAACCATATCACCAGTTCAAACAATAAAAGCAGGTAAAAAACCAAAAAGATGGGAGAATATGTTGAGGCAACATAAAAAATGTCCATACCGAAAACAATCCCTACCCCTAGTTCAACATACAATATTGTCCAGTTACATTTTCTTTTCTTCTTAGTTCTTACAAATAGATTAAGAAAACCCAATTCTTTCAGACATGTGGTTAAATTCAAAGTTTTTCAACAGCAATATAATTTAGCCAAATTCTATATATCCATTCTAAATGCATCCAGTCAAATTATGCATTACTCTTAATACCAAGAAGTTCATTGATGGTAGCTTCTGTTTTGCTAGAAACAAAAATAGAATCTTCGTTGAAAGTCAAGAGTAGAAGAACGATAGGGTTCCACCTTGCTTCACCCTTTACATAATCAAAGATGTTATGAACAATTAGGTTGTGCCCTGAGCACTTAAGAGTACTACACTGTTAAAAAACAACAGCAATAACAAATGAAAAGCAATGCCATTAAGGTTAATCCATGGATTTTAGCCAACTGTATGTAAACTCTAAACAGAAACTGATGACAACAATAATAGCCCACAAGAAAGAAAATGCAATTAACCCCAGAAATTTGAATAATACAATAAATCCATGTATGTCAAGGAAAGATTAAGATATATTGTGAAAGTGGTTTAATTACCTGAAGAGATAATAGAAGAGCTCTTGGTGTCAACGGCCAGTGTAAAAGGACCCATGTCAAGATAACCAAACCAAACACTTCACAACTTTCCTGTAAGATATCACTGAAGAAGAATTACCTGTAAAGATTAACCAAGAAGTATAGAACAATTAAACATTCTGAAAATAGTACTAGAATTTCACTCCTTGAAAACAGCAACAGAAAAAAAAAAAAAAAGCAAAGGGTTTCTTTCATTTCAATACTTTCAAATCATCTCGATAAAGAAGATGTATATTGAAAAAATGTTATTGAGAGATGAAGAAGAAAAGAAAGTACCTTCTTTGGAGACAGTGACAATTCTTGCCGTCAGTTTAGCAGTGCACAAGGAAAGAGATAAAAGAAGAACCTTGTTTGGTTCTTTGGTTGTTTACTAATTTTTATGTTGTAATAACAGAAGCAATGGGCCAAACTCGAACATGTTCTGAACCCATTTTGTGAAGTTCATTTATGGTTAAATTTTATTTAGAAAGAAAGTGATTTTATTGGTAATTTTATTTAGATTTTAAAAGGAAAATACTACTTGTCATATATTTATTTATTATATTAACTTATTAATTATTTTAAATATATATTTTAATAAAATATGTGACCATCTTCTAATCTTGATGGTGAAGAACGTATGAGATAATTTTTTTTCAAATATTACTGTTCCTTCTACTTCTCACAACATAAATCTTCTAAAGTCCATCTATTTCAAAAATCACATACCCATCTTATATTTCAATGCACATTGCACCATCTCCTGTTCAATTGATTTTATTATTGTATGCTTTTGTTTTATTGTATTAAATTTTTATTGAATCTGGTATTTTGGCAATGACTCATTTAATTCTTTCATCACACCAGTTTTATCAAAGTAAATGTTGATGCAGCTTTCCATTTTAACGCCTAGATGACAAGTTTTGGGGTGATAGCTTGTGAATCATCAAGAAATGTGTTTTTGTGCTCTTGCTAAGGGTGATTGATAACATAGATTCCTCCTTACAAGCTGAAGTTAAGGCCATTTTATTCCAATTCTCTATTGAATTTGAGTGATTCTTTACTAGCAATGAAGTAGATTTCCAAAGAACACTACTCTATGTGAGAATGGGAAAGTGTTATTTATTTTATTTTGACGTTTCAGTAAACTGCATTTGTTGTTCTTTTAGGTATGTTAGGGAAATTCTAATTGTTTTGCTCATAATTTAGCTAAGATTTCTTGTGATGAGGGAGAGCAGAGTGTATGGTGGAGACCTTTTTTTTGGTGCATGTATGGTTATTAAAAAATTTAATAACACTCTCAATGCATCTAGATATAGTGTTACATATTGTCAGTATATCATAGATTGACACCTAAAAATTAAAAAATTAAAAAATAAATATTTTTAAAATCTAAATATTAATTATGTTAAAATAAAATAGTGATGTGGTGACTTATAATATATTATATTTATACATTGATAATATATCAAATATAAATTTAATATTTTACTATAAAAGCCAATTAACTCACCCACAGAAACAATCCCTTATTGGTAAATTTTCTTTTTATTGCTCAAAATTTTGTTGAGACAAACTAAAATTACAAAATCAGTTATGCTACTAACGAACTCCTTGAATGTCTTGTCTGGCAGTGCATCAGACAACGCCCGCCACTTTCTAAATTATCGTTTCGCCATAGTTAATATATATCAACCGTTAAGAAATTCTCCTACGTACATTTTTTTTCTAGCAATTTGTTTCGTGCCGAAGCAAAAATTTTCATTTTCCATTCTGTCCGGAAGAATTGGCACGAACCATATGGCTCGAGCCATGGCCTTCCTATGGACCTGTGCCTTGATCCTGGTTGCAGCTGGTGTTGTTGTTGCAGAGAACATTGGTGTGAATTGGGGTGTGATGTCCTCGCACCCATTGCATCCTAGCATTGTGGTGCGTCTGCTCAAAGACAATGGCGTGAAAAAGGTTAAGCTTTTCGATTCAGATTCTTGGACGGTAGGTTACTTTTCTGGAACTGGCATTGAGGTCACGCTTGGGATTCCTAATGAGCAGCTACAAAACTTGGCCGATGACCACCGTGCTGCCAAGGATTGGGTCAAAGAAAATCTCACCAGCCATCTTCATGATGGGGGTGTCAACATCAAGTAAGTTAATTGTTTTCATTTTTTGATCCAACTGTATCGCTTCCACTCTGCATTTCTCTACATCAAAGTCCCAAAATGCCCAAACAAAAAGGAAAATCTAAAAAAAAAAAAAAAAATCCAATTGTGTGACTTTGCAGGTACGTAGCTGTTGGAAATGAGCCATTCTTGGGTAGCTACAATGGTTCATTTACAAAACAAACATTCCCAGCATTGAAAAACATTCAGAAGGCCCTAAATGATGCAGGTGTAGGAAACAAAATCAAAGCAACAATACCTCTTAATGCTGATGTTTATCAATCGGGTTCAAACAAACCATCCGACGGAGTTTTCCGCGACGACATAGAGGATCTGATGACCCAAATTGTGCGTTATTACAACGAAAATGGATGCCCATTTACCGTCAACATATATCCTTTCCTTAGTCTCTACCTAAATAGTAATTTCCCTCAAGATTTTGCATTCTTTAATGGAGGTCACCCGATCAATGACAAAAATGTTCAGTATGACAACGTTTTTGACGCAAACTATGACACTCTTGTTCGGGCATTGAAAAAGGTCGGCGTCCCAGATCTGAAGATCATCGTTGGGGAAGTTGGATGGCCAACAGATGGCCACAAAACAGCAACCAAGGACAATGCTAAGAAGTTTTATGATGGTCTCTTCAAAAAATTAGCCAGTAACAAGGGAACCCCACTTCGTCCTGGGAAAATGGAAGTCTACTTATTCGGTTTGTTTGATGAGGATATGAAGAGTATTGAACCAGGTTATTTCGAGAGGCATTGGGGGATTTTTTACTTTGATGGGAAACCCAAATTCCCAATGGACTTTTCTGGCGGTGGAAATGACAAGGCATTAGTGGCTGCTAAGGGGGTACAATACTTGCCTAACCAATGGTGCGTTTATGAAAAGGATGCCATGGACCAGGAAGTGTTGCCTAACCAGATGAGTTGGGCATGCAGCCATGCCGATTGCTCATGCTTGCAGGAAGGTGCATCCTGTTACAATCTGGACAATACGCGTAGGATCTCGTATGCTTTTAACAGTTACTACCAAACCAATGACCAAGATGTTGAAGCCTGTAAATTCGAGGGTTTAGCCAAGATCGTAACGGTAGATCCATCAACACAGAATTGCAAATTCCCAATTCAAATAGTGAGTGGCGGAGAGAAGAGGCTGAGTTTTGCATATATAGCAATTGCTGCCCTCGTTTCATTAATGAGCTTGTTCATATTGGTGTAAGATTGAGAATCAAACTATAAATCATATAACGAGAGAGTTTGGAATGTAGAATATTGTTAGTGCAATTCCCTTTCTAACCTTTTTTAATTAATTTAATGATATTTATGCTAAAATTTCAGAATTTGCCTTAAAAAAATTCAAACTTACGGTATGTTTATTCAAGTAAACGAGTGAAAGAAGTAAATTTATTATAGAAGTGATGCTTGTGACTCGCATGGATGACTTCCAACAAAACAGATGAATAACTTTCTTCTTCCTTTAGTATAGATCAAAAGGGATCTTCAAACAGCTATTTGGACTAAAAACTAAGTTCAGTTCCTAGATTACTTGCAATGCATGCAGAATTGAAAATAAACTTCTTCGGATCATATAGATACATTAAACTGATATCAGAAAAATGTTATGTTACTTTCATTCGCGACAAATTTTCAGGTATATTTTTCACTTCTGTAATAAATAAAAGAAAAAGAATGCATATCACTGAAATATCATTTTCTAACTTGCAAGTCACCTGTCCTGGGAAAAATTCACTAACCTGGCTGTATATATCCCTGCAAATTAGCAAGCCATCTAATTGCCATTAGAATTGAGCAGCAATGTTCAAGCATTTGGCCATCCTTAAACAGAAGCCCAACCCTGGTGTTCTACATCAACCATAGAATGTAAACTTGACCCTTCTGGAATTCCCAATGGAGGATCTTGGCATGAACAATTATCAACTGTATATAATTCCCACTCCTTAATTCCACATTTTTCCAAAGCGGAAGATAATCTACTGCCCTCTGTCTGTTTTGGGTATGCTCCATCTGGACTAACAAGCACAGCACCAGTATATGACTGTCCTGCAACTCGAGCTGCCCCATGGTAATGAAACAAACCCCAACTAAAGTCGTCAGATACATCCACAATTGTCCAAAACTCATTTGACACAACCCCATTATCCAAGACACTGAAGTAAAATGTCCCAGGAACTTTTCCTCTCTTGACACGATATTTACGCCTCCTCCAAATCATTTCTCCGTCCAAAGTTTTAACCTGAAAAACTGGCTCATACCAAAATGATCCCTTTGCCTTCCCCCTGTAAAATAGCTGGTACTGGCATGGAAATTGATCATAAGCTGGGTTCTGGCCTGCCACAACTCGCCAACTCCAATCCAAACTCCCCAACCAACCAACAAATATATCTTCAGCAGTTTCATAGCACAAGTCCTTTCCTCGAAACTTAAGCATAGGCTGCACATATGGCTTTTCAGGGATCATTGCATCTAAATCAAGACAATTATTTTTCTGAAGAACACACAGAGAAAATGCTTCTAGTTTCGGACTTTCATATGAAGCAATACATCGATAATTGCACACCTGATCTACTGGACTGCATTTATTCAAGCATTGGAGAGCTTTCCTACAATTTGGATCCATAAGGCAATCCAATATCTGAGGTCCACAATTTTTCACCATGCAATTCAGGGTAGAAAAACCCTTTGCTCTCAAGTTCTTCAAGATAGGGACTGGCCGAATATAAGCATTGATAATAACCAACAAACAGAACCTTATATCATCAGAATTACGTCGGTCCCAAGCATCAGATACAGTTTGCACAACTTCCATTGTTTCATTTGTTTTCTTCAGCCGAGACATTCCCACTATTTTGTCAAAGAAGCCCCCTTTTATTTCACTATGGACATAAGAGCCTCCTAATTTGTTAACTAAATCCAGATTGGATTCAAAGCAGATTATATTAGGGATGTTTTTGCTATTGGTCTGAATCCATTTCACTGAATCCTGGTTTGAAACAGCTACAACCACCAGAATATCTGCAGAAAGCAATTCCTTTTGCAGATTCACGGCTGTTTGATCATTGGATTGATGGAAATTGTCAGTGAAAACAACCATTTCATATCCTTCATCTACCCATTTCAGTCTTTTCGCCTGTTCAGTAAGAAAAGATATACAAGTCCAAAAATAGTTCTCTAAAAACTTTCCCCATTAATTCAAAAATAGTTCTTATTAAATGAAAAAAAAATTTCATGAAAATCCCAAATATTTTTTTAAAAAAGTAGCACTTACGGTGTGCCGCATAACCTCTTCCCACGTGGCGCATTTTAATGGACTGACGCTTCCTTCACCAACCACCGCTACTACGCTCACAGGCGGCTCCGCTTGCTCCGTCAGCGCACTTTTTCCCTCTTCCTTCGTCTTCAAAACTGCAGAAACAGTAGCTCTTGAGCGGAAAGTCGGATAAAGTGAAAAACTAGAGGCTGTCCGGTGGTGGTTTGATTGAGGTAAACCGGTGCGAATAGAAGTGAACCGGCGTTTGAGTTGAGCACTGGTTTTGGGATTGGGCAGTGGTGGAGGTTCCAGACACAAACTCATGACTTTGCAAGGTAAGAGTAAGAGTTGCACGCTACGGTCCAAACGACGCCACAAATATTGTTTCATTCATGGTATGTGGAACACGCTTTCTTCAATCTGCTAGAATTGCAGTTAGCAACGTGGCGCGTTTTCATTGTAGGTCATATAAATAATCTGAAAATATTAAAATTTTTCAGTGAAAATTTTAAAATTCTGTAGTAATACTTATAAAATTGTTGCATGTACATTAAGTTGTTATAATTTTGAAAATTAATAAAATATTATATTTATTGTCAATACATAATACAAAAACTCTTTTTTTCTCTCAATTAACACACAACTCATATTTATCTTAAAAAATAATTTTAAAGATAATTTTGAAATTAAAAAATTAATAAAATATAAAAAAAGTTTTAAAATACCGTAAAAATGAAAGAGAAGAAAATTGAAAGAACATGAGATTAGGGAAGAAAAAGAAGAAAAAGGAATTTCTTTTTCATTCTGGCTCTTTTCTTTTATAGTTTGAATGCATACATTGATTAGTATATTTTTTATATTGTTTAATTTTTTTTATTTTGAGATTTTTATTTGGTTTTTACTTTTTTTTTTTGAAAGAGATTGAGAGACAGCATGTATGACTATACTGCATGAATGCTTGCACCACATGTACGATTTTTCATATTATTTCATTTTTTTTATTTTAAGATTTTTTTTTACTGTGTGAGAGATTGAAAGATGGCATAGGTCTATGCAAAAGAAGTTGTTTTACTTCAAAACATCTTTATTTTTTCCTTTATCCTTATATTTGACTTTGGTTTTGCAAATCTTAGATGAAATGTGGATTTTTTTTTTATCCAGAGATTGTTATAACAAACATGGAAGGTAAGGACATATGTTTTAGATTTGTCATTTATGACTTTGAAGGTTAAAAATTTAACTAGTTTTCAGTTGAGTTTTTACTTTGTTATTCCTAGTGAGTGGTTTACCTTAGGCTGGACCAAGCAAAAAGAGATCTATAAAGTTGTTTATAAAAATCATTACTTCAAAAAAAAAAAAAGCAAAGATTGTTATTCCTAAAAAAACAAGTAGATTTTCTTTTCCATTTGTGCTCTTCTAGAGGAGTTGATTGCTAATGCCTAATGAAAGATCTCATTTCATCAAATTATAAAATTCATTCCTTACCATTTTCTGATTCTCTTTTCTAGTTCATTTTTCTATTGTTAGTTTTTTATTTTTTCAATTGAAATTTACATTGTTAAAGAGTTGCAAGTCCTTGGTGTGGATGGCAAGAAAGTGGGTGAACATACTATAATCTTTCACCCTTCAAAACAAAATAGAAGAGCATATGTTGCCACTGGTTAGGTGAAACAGACTCCAAAGTCAAATAGTTCATCATTCCTTGCAAGTTTTGCAGTAGGTTAGTTTCTTCTTCAGTTTTTCTTATTAAATATTTTAAACCAATTATTATTATTTTGGTTTGCATTTGTAATAAATATTGTTTATCTTTAAAACTTGTGCAGGTCATTTGGCTCTGAAAATGCTTTGCAATCTCATTCTCAAGCTAAACACGGTACTATATTGTAAAAATTAGTAGGTCTAATATCTTTGTTTGAATTTTGGTATCTTTGGAATAGACAAGTAGAGATAGCTTGAGTGAATGGAATTGATATAGTAGTTCCATTTGAAAAATAGCCTTACTTTTAAGTTGGTGGTTTTTGTCAAAGGAGTTTCATACTTTCACAGTTGAGTTGGATAAAAGATTTTATTTTTTAAAAAAATATCTGGATAACCTTATTTAAATGAATTATGGGTTATTTTTTAGTTGATAAATTGTTATTTGTTTGAAGTAGAAAGATGGGCAATGTGGAACAAGTTTGTGAAGATATAAATATGATAGTTGAAAAAATGGAGCATTATAAAGTGAGTTGTTCAAAGGAAGGGAAAAGGAAAAAATTATGAAAAAAGGTAAAGTTTCAGCCGGTAGAGTACCACTCACTATCTGGATATTTGAGGGACAATGTAAGCCATTATACACACCTAATTTTGTTCAAGTTTATTCAAATTTGTTCGATTTTTAGTGTTTGGTGTCAACATTCTTACTTGGGCTAGCTTAAGTGTTAAAATTGAATTGAATTCATATGCGTTTGTTTCGAATTAATCATTTATTTTATTTTACATGGACCAAAGTCTAGTCTAATTCAATTTGGGACAATTTGAAATTAAGTCATAGGGCCTTAAAAGCCCAAAGTCCAAAAGCAAAATTTAAAACCTAAAATTTAAAGGCCCAATTTTATGCTTAGATTTAATTATTTTAATGAAATAAAAAATTTATAAAACAAAGAAAAACAAAATAAAAAAAAGAAAGAAGACAATTAAAACTGGCAACACTACAACTAGATCCACTACCCTACAATCAAGAGCAATAGGGGTATAAATGATACATTAGTACTTGCAAGCTACTCGGATTCGATTCGATTAAAACTTGAATTTGATTCAATAATTATCGAACCGAGCTCGAGCTGGAATAACTCGACTTATTGAACGAGCCGAATTCGAGCATATTAGTACTCGACTTGAATAGCTCGCAAGACTAATCGAGCTTTTCTATTATATATATTTTTATTATTTCATTTATAAAATTATTTTTTTACCCTTAACCTAAAAAACCCTAAAATTTTATTTTTTTTCTTTTCCTCTTTTTTTTTTCACTTTTTGTCATCGTCTCTCTCATCTCACTTAACGACACTTTTTCATCCTGCTAGTTTTATCGAGGGTTTAAGCAGTGATTAAGTACAAGCAATTCTCTAATTAGGATTCTGTTGGAACTACGCTCTCTATTAAGAGCATCAAAGCATTCAAACTAGAGAGATAGAAATAATAGTGTAGTGTTTAGTTTTTTTGTGCCTAGAGGACTTGAAAGAGCTTCGAATTCTAGCGGTTCCCAATTCAAAGTCCTAAGTCTTTTGCTTGACTGAGGGCTCGTTGGTCTTGCTTTCAATTCCAAATATCGAGATTCGAATAGCAGTTGGGAAAAGGGATTTGGGCTAGATCGAATTTTAGATAGTCCATTGCAATTCATAATAGTACACCTAATTTCTCTTTTTTTTTTCCTTTTAATTTGATTTTTTTTCCTTTCGTTGTGTTTTGTTCGTACTTGGTTTGTTTTAATGGTGATTCATAGGATTATAAGATTAAGAAAAATAAGAGTGAATGTTATGCTGATATCAATAGGTGGGTATTTTTATTTTCTCCTTTAATTTTGGGTTTTTATATTTTTCGTTAATTAGGCTGAATTTTTGCTTATTTGAATTGAAATAAATCTGTTTTTTTTTTTAATATTCTTGCATAATATTTAATTAAATCTTAGATAGAGTTATTTGTATTAACTATTTTAATGGACTTTATTTGTGTTTTTGATTCTTTTCTCAATTCAACTTTTATTCTCCTTCATTAGAAGGACTTGTATTTTTTTCTTTTTTTTTTTAAGTGAAGACGATAAATGGATATGGAAATTTTGGGTTTTGATACTTAGTAGGATGTAATAATTTTCAAGAAGATTTTTTTTACTTGTACTGATTATTGTATTTTATTCTATTTGATTATGGAATCAATGGATTGTGCAATGCAAGTCTTCATCAATAGCAAAGGAGAATTGTGCTTTGAAGTGCCTTTCTTCGACTTGTTACGAGCTTATATATGAAAGTGATCTTGTATATAAAATCTTTCTTTGCTATGATGCTGTATTAATTTGTTTCTATTGTCTGGTTTAATGATTTTTTTTGTGTTTTCTATCTTGTAGCTTGAAGAATGAGAGAAAGATTTTATAAGGAGCCAAAAGTTCAAGTATTACATGTATAAGTAAGTTTCACAACTTTTATGGATTCATCATGTCTTTTCTGTTTTATATTGTACAATAATCATGCTGTTATTGAACATATATTAAAATAAAAAGGAGTTTAAACTTAGGTTATGGTAATATAAGTAGTTTTGTTAGTGTAGTGTGTAGCCTTTAAAGAACGTGTACACATACACACAAACATTAGTGTCTAGTTCAAAGATATCTTATGTCTAGTTCAGAGATATCTTATAGGGTAAGTCATATTCCTCTCCTTTAGTTTAGGCTGTAATTGTAACTCACCACAGTTTCTTTAGTAAGCAACTTATGCATCCTTGGACTAAACGTTGTACAATACATTTACTGGTTTCCCTATATCTTGGCATTAGATCATCAGCCATTTTTGGTTGCTTTATAATTAGCCTCAATAAAGCATTCAATTTCTACTTTGATCAAAAACCTTAAGTGGGCAAGTGGACTACCTTTATTTTACTTATAAGAGATGAAAGTAACAGGAATAAATTAGACATACCATTTGAGTTTTTCCCCTTTACTTTCTCGAAGTGCTAGCACTCCACATTTTGAACCTATAGTAATGAGGTGAAAAGAAAGTCTAAAGGTCAATGCTGTCTTATCCATGCCTTGCTCTTCACATTAATTTTGATAATTTCTCATACTTTACATCTTACTTCTGTGCTAGTGATTGCACTATATCAGTACTTTTAGTGACAGTTAAAAATTCAAATTATTATTGAAGTAGGTAATCTTAAATTTATTAAAATTCCTACAATATTAGTATATTTTCCCAAAGAATAAAATTCCATACTCTTCCAATAATTTGTTCTCACAACTTGTTTGGCATGTCTTTCGTAAAAGAATTTACTGCACATGTTTCTAACAATTTGTTTGTATTATTGTTTGATCTCAAAATTGAATTATTATTTTAATTTGTCTTTTTTTTGTTATAGGAAACTAAACATGTCATCAACCACACTGAATATCTCTTTTATACTAATTCAGCCAACAATAAATTTTTTTGCTAGCTGAATTGTGTCAGATGATGGTAATGATTCAATGAATGAAGCTTTAGATGCCACTGATGGTAACATAGATAAAACACTAGTCACTAATGATAATGATAGAGAATATGATGATGCTAACCCCTGAAAAGTGTGAAGAAGGTAATGAGAAAAAAAGGTAAAAGACATTTGTTGTTTGGTTGGAGTTCAAAGAAGTCATTTTTTCTAATAGTTCTAAAAAAAGAAAGTATGTCCATTACAAGAAGAAGCTAGCAATAAATGCAAGTAAAAGAACAACTCAATTTAAGAGGCATTTAATAACTTAT